ACCCTGGGATCATGACCTAGGCCGAAGGCAGACGCTTAACAACTGAGCCACCTAGGCGCCCCGATGCCGTTCACATTTTTTAAAGATAAAACTGCTGTCAAACCTGAAACTTTGGCATGCGAGCAGTGATATTGCTGGTAAATGTCTAACAACTGGCTTTCAGGGGTGGGAGGAAGTGGAGCCCTGATACATATTATTTGTTGATTCGCATAGTAAAACATTTCCATGACAGGATAGGAAGACATGATACTGAGAAATACTGAATTAAGGAACTAAAAGAGAAATCACTGGCAAATATCGACAATATTGAGGAGATGCTTTATTCTTCTCTTCCTTCTCTCCTCCTTTTTCAACTGATTACAGCTCAGAAGCCATGGGCTTAGTCTGGGAAAATCTTGTTACTAGGGTACAAGGGTATAAAAACACCTGGCTCTGGGTATCCTAAATACACCAGGTTTTGCCACTTGTCCCTGACAAAATCCAAAGGCAGAGAGATGAATGGGGGTGAAACAAGAAAGGGATTTATTTCAGTGAGGCCAGCACCAGGAAGAGAGCAGACCAATGTCCCAAACACTCTCTGAAGTGCTGAAAATACTTTGAGGTTTATATAAAAAAAAGTGTGGGACAGAAGTCGGTGGGTGCGTGTAGATGGGCAGTAAGGGTCAGGTCCATCACTATTGAGGGGTCAATTATGTGGGGTTATCACTGGCGTCAGATCAGGGCAGTTAAATTGCTTGAGGGGTAGTTTAAGTTCCCATCACAGGATGCTTTGCCCACCAAGTCTTTTGCCTGAGTTAAAAGATAAGCTGGAAAGAACTTAGTGAGTTAGAAAGTATAGACTGAGGTCAAAATGGAGGTAGTTCAAGTCCTCTTTCAATTTGATCTATTTGGGGTGGTTAAAGGACTCTGAAGAACATAAGGTGGAACTTCCTCATGTTCGGTCAACTGGGAATTTCAACTAACAAGTTAAACTTTTCTTTTAAGTTAAATAAACATTGACATCAGATAAAATAATTACAAAAAGTAAAAGTGATTCAATGAGAAAATTCTAATGGGGTATAAAAGTTAACAAAAATAATTTTTTTTTTCAAAAACTGAAAGAGAATTGCAGAAGAACAAATAAAATGCTTCCCCATTCTTCCAGTCTTGAAGAGGAACTTCATAAAGAATGGGTCAACGCGGGGGGCAGCTGGCTGGCTGCCTCAGTCAATAGAACATGCAACTCTTAATCTCAGGATTATGAGTTTGAGCCCCATGTTGGGTGTAGAGATTATTAAAAAAAACATAAAGGAAGAAAGAATAGATCAATACAGAAAGTCATATATGGAGAGCTTTTATTATTTGAACAAGCCAGCTGTTTGCCCCTCAAGTAAGAATTTACTGAATAATATGGCATCAGATTTTAGAAAGTGTAACTGAACCAATGTGCTTTCTCTCCTTAGTGAGTCACAGATACATCAGCTAGAGTTGTCGCACGAAGTAAACTTTATTTGCAGCAAATAAGGAGATCATGGGGAATAACTTCCAAAGTTGTGACTCCCCGAGCCAGGGTGAATGGATTCCTTTTATTTAGGGTTAGGGTGAATATTTAGCTAGGGAAGCCCTGTCGTTGTACGTAGAGGCAGGCATAAGACTGTGTATGCACCTTAAGGAAACATGCCTATATACATATTGTATGTTATGTAAATGAGGCCTATGTTCCTCCTTGGGTGGAGACGTTAGTATTGTAATGAGGTAAAGGTAGTTGCCAGTCATTCTAGAGGTCACTCCATGGTCCACCTGTGCAGGCGCGAGTCAGGGGTTAAGCTCAAACTGGTCTGGGTGATCTGGGCCAGCTGGAGGTCTTTTCAGGGCGGTCCCATGGCTGGAGAGGTGGTTTCGGTCCAGTTGCCTAAGTTAAGAGATAAGCTGGAAAGAAGAGCTTAAAGGGGTTCTCCTGGGTGGCTCAGTCATTGGGCGTCTGCCTTCAGTTCATGTCATGATCCCAGGGGTCCTGGGATCGAGCCCCGCATCGAGCTCCCTGCTGGGCAGGAAGTCTGCTTCTCCCCCTCCACTCCCCCTGCTTGTGTTCCCTCTCTCGTGTCTCTCTCTGTCAAATAAATAAATAAAATCTTAACCAAAGAAAAAAAAAGAAGAGCTTAAAGAAAAATGTGGGACAAAGGTTGGTAAGTACAAGCAGGTGGGCAATAAAGGTCCCACCTGAGGTCTAGCTGGTGAGAATGACAATTCCAGGGCAGAATAAGTCCAGGTGTTCTATGGGTAGGACTCAAGCACCTGGAAAAAATATCCCCAAACCAATCATCTCTAGTACCCTTTGGACAAAAATCCTCATCTATAGAAAGCTTATAAATTCTAGGGACTACTCAGGCTTTTCCTTTCAAATATATTAAATAGTTTTGACTATTTGTTGGGGTGCCTGGCTGGCTCAGTTGGTTAAGCATCTGCTTCAGCTCAGGTCATGATCCCAGGGTCCTGGGATCAAGCCGCACATGGGGCTCCCTGCTCAGTGGGGAGTCTGCTTCTCCCTCTCCCTCTGCCCCTCCCACCCCTGCTTGTTCTTTTTCTCTCAAATAAACACAAATCTTAAAAAAAAATAGTTTTGATTATTTTCAAATATAATCTTTACCAAAATATTACCTCTATGCTCTCTTTAGGTTCATTCATTCATCCAGCAGTGTTTATGGAGTAGATACTATGTGTCAGACATGGGTGGGTGGAGTCTTAGGTAAAATGACGGGGTTAGATGTCTCAAAGGTCCTTTCAAACTCTCAGGTGGAAACTTCAGGTGGAGCAGAGGTAAAAATTGAGGAAAAGGAAAGGCAACTTCTTACAATAGACATCTGAAAATGAAAAATTCTTTAAATATTAGTTTGCTAGGGGGAGGCTGGATGGCTCAGTCAGTTGAGGATCCAACTCCTCTCTTGGTTTCAGCTCAGGGCATCATCTCAGGGTCCTGAAATTGAGTCCCAGGTGGGCTCCAGGCTGAGTGGGGAGTCTGCTTGAGATTCTGTCTTTCCCTCCCCCTCTGCCCTGCCCCCTGATCGTACGTTTGCTCGCACTCTCTCTTAAATAAATAAATAAATAAATAAATAAATAAATAAATAAATAAATAAAATCTTTAAAAAGAAATAAATATTAGTTTGCTAGGCAATCTAATGACTCCCAGTGACTGGAACATTTGTTTCTTACTGACTGAAGTAACAGACCCAACTCGAAAAACATTTATGTAATGGCTCATGACACAGAGTAAAAGATTTCTTCCTGTGAGCAACTTAGGAAAACTAATCAAATGTCATGCTGAAAAATATGTAGAATAAAAAGATATCAGTAAAGTTAAAGGCTCTAAAATATCGGGTTAATTATCTCCTTAAAAATCCCTGTCCCATGATCACACTGCTTTCCCTTCATTGTGTCAGAATGAGTTTATTATGTGTGAAGTAGTTTACTTCTATTTAAATTAAGTACTTCCTGTTACCGAAGTGACTGGGTGTTGAGTAACTCAGAAAACAACTTTGATCTGGTAAAGGGAGTGGAAAACAATTTTTATTTGTTGAATCATTTGTGTATAGTTAACACAGTTAACATTATTTGCATGCTGATAGAACACAGGAGTCCTAAAACTATCTTTTTCAAGTTTCTGTTATATTGTTGATTCATTTGCTAAAATATCTAGGAATAACAAATTTTGAAAGTACTTTAATTCTTATTATTTTGTGCCAGTAATATATGGAAACCATGACATGCATGTATTGATAGTACGACTATATCGGTTACTCAAAGTGAAATGTTGAAAAGCCAGGACCGTGTTTTGCAAAGAAGAAAAACAAATATTACTTTGTTTTTGAACCAAATATTAAAGCCTGAATGCTTTCCATAAGAAAATCATTCAGTATAAGATATACAGTGACCGCAAACAGGAAATTTATCATCTAGCAATTTGTATATGTATTTGGTTTCCTTATATGTGTTAAAAAACAAAATTCAACTGAGTAGATTTGAAGATCTAATTAAGCTTTATTAAACAATTAATGAAAGGGGCGGTATCCCATCTATCAAGTAGGGGGGAGCTCTAAGGAGTGGTACTAAATGGAAGGTTTTTATAGGAAGGAAGGTGGGGCAAGAAAATTCTTAGCAAAAGAAATGTTCCAGGCAAGGTCACTTTCCCTTAGGGAAAAAGCAGGGGGTCTAATCATTCAGGTTACCTCATCTTCCTTTGGGGAATGGAGAAGGCCCATGTGACAGATTACCTCATTGGTACTGATCAGAGAATTCCTGACTGACTGGTTAAGTCATTTCTGGGGGAGATCAATATAATGTATATAGATAACATATTTAGTAAAATTGTCAATGAGTTTTTTTCAGTGCTATGGTGAATAGTTTTTCAGGAATTTAGATAGATGTGAATCAGATATTACAGTACTATCTATCAGATAAATTTTAAATTTTTGGGAAAAAAACCTAAAGGCAAATTAGTGATATGGTGCTAAATGTCTTTTAAGTACAATGTTGTTATTGCAAAGTTGTTTTACCTTAGAATTGTCCTATGGCTTTTTAATCACTTTTTATGAAAAAGACGTTTCCTTCCCCTTTGTTAAAAAGTAAGATTTATTTAAACTCAGTGTTCTAGAAACTGGAAAGAATTTTATTTCTGGCTGGTGCAACACATGATACAGCGTTGCTCGTTTTTGTTTGTTTGTTTTTCTCATTAGAAAAGTATTTAGATATTTCTTAGTTAAAAAAAAGAAATCCCCCCCCCCACTTTGTTGGGATAAATTTGCCAAATCCACATTTCTAATGAAATTTACCTCTTTGCTTCTCTGAAGCAAGAATACTGGAAATTCGTCTCTCTGAACTTAATAGCTTAAAGCTAATGCAAAAGGAAAAAGTACAACCAAGAGGCTAGAGTCTGTCTAGTCTCTGGGTTAGATCCATGCTTAAAAATCAGCTCCTGTCCACAGTCATTATTCTCCTTCTGAAGTCTTGTTTGCTTCTCCTTGCAGAATGGACTCAATGCTCTCCACCTGGCTGCCAAGGAGGGCCACGTGGGCCTGGTTCAGGAGCTGCTGGGAAGAGGGTCCTCTGTGGATTCTGCCACTAAGGTAATATTCATGCTGGGAGAATTTATTTGGAACAGAGGAAATGATTTAAAGTTGCAGAGATTTGCTGGGACACCAAGATTCTTCACAATGCAGAACTGAAATTGAAACTGTTATTACTGAACTTTGCAGAGAGTTGGAATTGGTTCATTTAGGGATTTATCAAACATGAGACTAAAGAATTCTATGCACCTGGTTTCTAATATTTTTTCTTTTTTCTTTGGTTCCCAGAGAGAGTAGCTTGATATAATCCTCTGTAGACAGTAGCATCTATTTTCCTAAGGTTAATTCATTTAAAAAAGTAAATTGATGCAGTAAACTTCTCAGTGGAAATGGACAAGTAATTTTCATGCTTTAATTAAGTTGTTGGATCTTTTAGTATATTCGTTTAACTTGTTAAGAGAATATACAGAATCTTTTATACTGTAATGGAAAAGAGATTTTGGATCATGGATTGAATAATTGGGAAAATTAGATTTTGTCACTATAATGTGTGTAGGTAGAGAAATTGGACTCATTTTTAAGGAACTGTTCAAGATGTTTGATATACTAGAAGCTGGTGTTTTTTGGTTGGTACTTGTTTTACTAAAATATATTTGAACCTTGTCTTTGGGGAATCATTTCAGAAACGAGATATTTTTTAAAAATATCATCAGTGGTGACAAATCTTTGGCTTTAGAAGGTAAAGTTTTAATTTGGAGAAAAACAGTAGCCAGTCAGAATCAAGCCTGCTGACCAGAGCTGGAGTGTGACAATATGGTTGTGAGAGATGCAGAGATGCTGCAGGCCCTCAAGCCTCCATCTGGGGCATTATTCTGATCAGGGATAGAGTAAAGAGTGAATAAATGAGGAATATGGCCAGTTAAGCTGGATTTCTAACACCTCATGCAGGCATAGTTGCCAAAATGTAGGCTGGCCCTGCTCACAATAGACAGCGATTCTAGTGGAAATTTAAAAACAAAAACAAAAGCTCTCTGGCAATTCCAAAGAAAAGTTAAAATACAAGTTTACCATAGACAACAAATTGTCACACACACGCACATGCACACAAATCCCAAATTTGATTCAATAAGAACTGAGTCTTTCTTCTTACACCCCTCACCAGAATTGTGAAGGCTAGAAAGGGAAAACACTGTTATGGGAGGCTCAGTGTTTTGATGGCAGACCATTATCCCTTCCCAAGGTGGGCTACTATCTTGATAGAATGACAGACTTTAACCAGTTGAACTGATCAGCAAAATTTAAAGTGCCTGTACATTTGATTTCTACAAAATTTGGAAACCTCTAACATTTTCTATTCTGTTTCTCCAAAACAGAAGGGAAACACTGCTCTTCACATTGCATCTTTGGCAGGACAAGCAGAAGTTGTCAAAGTTCTTGTTAAGGAAGGAGCCAATATTAATGCCCAGTCTCAGGTATTACATTCAGGTTTTCTCTTGTGCAAATGAATTCAAATTAGAACAGCTTTGTGAAACTGATTTAATGGGTTGAGCCAGCTGTTGGGTAGATAGATTTACTATAAATACTTCTGTTATTTATTTCAGCCAATTATTTTATTAACTCATGCAACAGTATTTCTTACTTCTTTGATGTATCATGATCTCCCTCTTAATATAACTGAAAATTTGACAACGGTGGTCTCTCATTTGCTCTAAGTGCATTAAAAAAGAATATAAAGTGGTTTTTTTCCACAATGACAGTGACATCTGTGAAATATGAATTATTCATGCAGGTTCTATGTTGCGCTATAAAAGTATTTTCTCTCCTTAAATTTTAAACATTCTCAGAAGATTAGCATTCCAGTAGGAAATCTGCTATGAAGTGGGAATCACACTAATTACCTCACACCCCAAATACAGACTCTAAAAACCTCCTGAAGGAGCCAGGAAAATTCGTGACCCACAGCCTTATGATGCATGTAATAACAATAAACTGGATCCTTATTTCCTGAGTGAAAAAATATTGCTTTGCCCAAAGCTTTACTCTTGATATCTATTCCGTATCTATGTAGACACTGAGATGTATATCTTTATGATTTCATTTCTTCTCTCTCTTTTTTTAAAGTCTTTAGCCTTTCTGAGATCACAGGCCATGCCACAGGGGCTATTGGCAAAATAAACCAGTTCCTCTCTAATTTCTGGGATGATCTCACCAGCTTGCTTTTGAAGGCCTTTGTGTAGGAATGTCTCTACCTATTTATAAAGTTCGTTCATTGATCACGTAGACATGGTTCTAGAGGTATAAATGGCACAAGTCCTGGACTCATAAAACACTACAGGGCAGGGCGCCTGGGTGGCTCAGATGGTTAAACGTCTGCCTTCGGCTCAGGTCATGATCTCAGGGTCCTGGGATCAAGTCCCGCATCGGGCTCCCTGCTCCTTGGGAGCCTGCTTCTCCCTCTGCCTTTCTCTCTCACTCTGTCTCTCACAAATAAATAAATAAAATCTTTAAAAAAAAAAAAAACACTACAGGGCAAAAGTTCGAATCAGCCCTATTTTCTTTGACTTTGATTATAGGGAAGAACCTGTTGAAATCATGACAGGACATTATTTATTTTTATTTCTATAATAGCATACTATTTAAATAACCACATTTTTCTTTTAAAACCCAAATTACACCTCTATTTTAACCTTTGTTAAAAATATGCCATATTCTAAAAACTTCACTAAATGAACAATTTTTGTTTTAAAGAGTTATTTATTTGAGAGACGAAAAGAGTGAGAGAGAGCACGCGCGCAAGAGAGAGGGGAGGGGCGGAGGTAGAGGGAGAAGCAGACTCCCCGCTGAGCAGGGAGCCTAACTCAGGATCATGCCCTGAGCTGAAGGTAGACGCTTAACCGACTGAGCCACCAAGGTGCCCCTAAATGAAAAAAATTTGTACAATTGGTACCATCTGTAAAGAATTCCCATATATTCTATAAAGTATAATGGCATCTTGGGCTTAGAGACAGAGGACTTGCAAAAGATTTTACTGCTCTAACATAAGGGATTAAAACCTTTTCTTTAGAATAGCAAGAGAACATCTTTTTCCTCTAGAGCAAAGGTTTTCAAATTTTAGTGGCCTCATAATCACCTGCAGGGCTTGTTGAAACCCATGATTCTCGGCCCAACCTCAGAGTTTCTTTTTTTTTTTTTAATTTTATTTATTTATTTGAGACAGAGAGAATGAGAGACAGAGAGCATGAGAGGGAGGAGGGTCAGAGGGAGAAGCAGACTCCCTGCCGAGCAGGGAGCCGCATGCGGGACTGATCCCGGGACTCCAGGATCATGACCTGAGCCGAAGGCAGTTGCCCAACCAACTGAGCCACCCAGGCGCCCCAACCTCAGAGTTTCTGATTCTGTTCTGGCATGGGACCTGAGAATTTTCATTTCTCCCAAGTGCTCACATAATGCTGACACTGCTGGTTCAGGAACACTTTGAGAACCCCTGCTTTAGAGAATGTAAGAGAAAACTGGGCATAAGGACATTGCAGTAAGATTCACTAACTATAGACCTAACCACCTGCGTAAATCAAGAGTTTGTGTACTGGGGTGCCTGGGTGGCTCAGTTGTTAAGCGTCTGCCTTCGGCTCAGGTCATGATCCCAGGGTCCTGGGATCGAGCCCCACTTTGGGCTCCCTGCTCAGCGGGAAGCCTGCTTCTCCCTCTCCCACTCCCCCTGCTTGTGTTCCCTCTCTCGCTGTGTCTCTGTCAAATAAATAAATAAAATCTTCAAAAAAAGAAGGAGTTTGTGTACTTAAGAAGCATGGAAACGAAAGCCTGGTCAAGTTCAAATGCCCATAGGTTTCTTTTAATGGAAAGTTCACCTGCTAACTGTTAGTGCTGTTAGTATCTATAAAAAGAGCTTAGTTACTTTTCTCAAAATGACTGGTTGAACATTGTGATTTCGTAAAAGTTGACAGGTAGCAAATACTGCAAGATAAATGCTTGTTAAAAGTTCTATCAGTCATTATACTGTGATTATTGGAAATTTATATGCTTTGGAGATTTTTCAAAGAGAACAAGCTAAAACCATTCAATTGGTAATTTGCTTTCAAGAGTCAATGAGCTCATTCTGTATAGTCATAATCATGCCAGTTTATATAACAGATCCTACAGGAAGATTTATATTGTCATTAAGAGATTAAAGTAATCTTTATTTGTACTGTAATTAGCTCAATTTAAGATTCATATATTGTAGGGAATCCTGACAAATAGCTTCAAACTGATTTTTATTTTGTGAGAAAGTTTTAGAGGGAGAAAAATTAATTAAAATTTAGGGTGTTTTTCTAAATCACTAAGTGATTTGATAAGCCCTATGACATTATTTACTATATTGAATTTAGGTGGCCTTCACTACCAATTAACAAAAAATATTGCTTAAAATATAATTTAATGATTGAAATTAAGATACAGGAATTTATATAAAACAGGTTGATTATTTTGTTCCTATGTGTGAACAAGTCTCAAAGGCATGGTTTCAAGGGCCATTGAAAGAGGTTATGAGTGCTTCATGCCTGATTCTCATTAGTCCTGTCTTGTTTAAGATACAGATTTCTTACATGGCGACAATGGACCTCAGGTGGATGGGTAGGACCATGCTCATGGTAGAATCAGAAAAGGGTCATAGGAATGCCAAATGCTCAAGATAAATTCTGAATTTTATACTCAAATTATCCTTCTATATCTTTCCAAGAACATAATGCAAGGCAAATTCAGGATAGTCTGTTATTATGGGAATGTTGATAGCTGCATAGTATTTTGCCTTTGACAAACTTCTGAGTTATTTGGAAATGGGCCACTAAGATTATTAAATTAAGAAGCTCAAAGGAATAAGTGTTCAGTAAACATTTACAGGGCTCATAGGTTATGGAGAGGTATACATCTGTGGATTTTTCTGCATTCTCTACCTAAAGTGTAAAATCCATGGGAGGCTTACCTTCACATAACACAGTGCCAATTTCAGTAGGCACAGTCCTTAACTCATGAAGAATTCCAGAATACCAGCAGAAGCAATTTAAGCATTTTAAGTAGAATTATGTGATCAGTAAAATAACCATCAACCAATGTTTAAGTTTCTATGCTCAGCAGTGGTGGCAGTATGGTCTCAACTGAGTCAGTTCTCAGTATGATTTTAAATACTGCTCAGACCATGTAGCTCTCTGGCTTGGTTCTTTGCTCTCCTGGATTTGGTGGCATGGAGATCTCATTAAGACCTCCATGAAAGCTGTTTTGGTGGAATAATGGGGCTGGAAGTCAAATTACAATGATTGCAGGAATGCTATTTGCACTGAGGATGGTTGCTTGCTTTCTGACAATCTCTACTCTCAGATAATCTTTACTAGGCATATTAACATCTTCTAAACCGTCCTACATAAGTAATGCTAGGATGCTTCCTAGCTATTTGTACTGGCATTTATTTGTCACTTTTATACTCCATAAACCTATTAGACTCAGAGATACAACTTTAATTAATTAATTTATTTAAGATTTTACTTATTTATTTTGGGGAGAGAGAGAGACAAAACGTGCATGAGTGGGAGTGGCAGAGGGAGAGGGAGAGAACCTCAAGCAGGCTCTGTGCTGAGTGTGGAGCCCAGTGTGGGGCTGGATCTCACGACGCTGAGATCATGACCTGAGCTGAAACCAAGAGTTGGACATTTAACCAGCTGAGCCACCCAGATGCCCCACAGATACGACTTTTAAAAACATTGTTCAAATTATATATTATAAAGGAAACTTTGAAAAAAATTTTAAAAAGACTGTCAGAGTGATGGTGAGTTCCTTTAAATTTTTGTAGCACTTTTTGCCTGATGATATTTGCCTACCTCAGGTTTATTTTTTGTAATGTATATCTACAGTTTCTGCAAGGTGGTACATTTCTTGGGAGCAGATCATTTTTCTCACATTGCTTTATATTTTTAGGATTTGACGTAATTCCTTGCACATATATGGACTGGAGGCTAAACATATGCATGTATATTCTTCCTGTGTAAGAATAAGCTTCGTTGTGTATTCCAATCATTCTTCACAGTAGATATTAATAATAGTACAATAAATAACATTGACTGCCAGGCACTATCTCCAGCGCCTTGTGTACATTATCTTGATCTTCATTTACTCTGTCATTATCAATGACAGACTGAGACAAAGATAATTCATTTACTTGCTCACAATCTTCATCCCTGGACAAAGCTGCTTTTCATAGCTCCTATAACAGTTGTACGTTCACTATAGACCCCATAGAACAGTTTTTATAATTCTTTTTTCTTCTGGCCTAAACCCTATTAAGGTCCAAGTAAGCAGATTTTCCTGAAGTAGCATCCATGCAGAAGGTTTAAGGTGAAAGATTTCCCCTTAGTGTTTTTTGTGAACTATAAATGCTATAGCTCTGCAAAAATGTTCAAAACATGAAGAGATTTTGTTGTTGCTGCCA